CGCCAAGGGCAGGGACGGCGCCTCCTGCCCGGCGTAGCCGGGGACAGGACCCATGGCCAGGCCTGGGGAGAGCAGCCCGGGCCTGGCGAGAGGGGCCGAGAGCGGCCTGAGGGCCAGGGCGTTCGGCTCGGCCCGGCTGTCGGGCTCTCCGCCTCCTTGGCGCCCACCTGCAGTGGGCAGCTGCAGTGGACACCTCTGGCTTCAGACCTTCGCTGTCTGCACCTTCATTTTCCTCCTGCCTCTCTCCATCCCCATGGTGCCCAGAACAAAGGTACCAGCAGGACCCAGGGACTTTGGGGGACACCAACCCTCACCCTGAACCAAACAAGGCCACACGCGCCCAGCTCGGCAAGCTCTGTGGGCACAGCTCGGCGAGCAGATATGGGGCAGGAGGCCGGGAGGTTCCGGGGAGCAGTGTGGCTCGGCACTGCCACTGATGGATCACCCACCGCCTGTCCCTCACAGCAGCGTGGCCCCCGGGGATATGAGCCCAGAAGAGGCATCCTGACCTCAAAGTATTTTTAGCTGCATTCCCGGGAGCAGATCTCATTACAGTTCTGCACCACAGGGCCGTTTCTGTGACCTCGCTGGGGCTTGGGTATGTGGGGAGGATAGGGTTAATCCATTTCCCCCTTCCCTCGCTGCCAACACACACACACACACACACACACCTCTCCGAGAGTGCTTTCTGCCTCCCAGGGATCCATCCCCAACCCTTTTGCATGGCAAAGATGAGAAGCCAAGCCTGGGTGCTGGCAGAGGGCTAGGGACCGCATGCTGCAGGGAGCTCCCTGGCCTGGCAGCCCTCTGCACTGTGCCGGGGTGCCGCTGCACTGTGCCTTCTCCCTGGGGCCCATGCCAGTGTCCCCCTTTCCCTCCTGGGCAGTGAGCCAGCTGCCTGTGTTGGCCACGGTGCCGGGACTCCTGGGATCTGTAGCAACCAAAACCTGGAGACGGAGCATTTTCTAGTGGCTATTGCAAGGTATCAGGCCGCTGCTGCCTGTGGGTTCTGATCTGTGGTGAGCATGGCTCCCAGGTGGTTCCAAGCTAGCCAAGCACCTGCCACGAAGGCTGTCCTCTTTTTGAGACGAGGGTTTGCCTTCCATGCTCTGCCATGGGCAGCTCTGCATGGGGGCACCACGTTCTCTTCCAGCAGCAGCCACAGCTCCCTGCTGCTTGAAGCTGCTTTTCTTCTCAGGCCTCTGTGCAGCTGAGAGCAGCTGTAGGAACTTCCCCCTGCTGCCGTCTCACACTCTGCTTCTGCCTAGACAACCTCTGGAGTGACCAGAGCCTGGAGACGGACCCTGACCTCCCCCCGGGCTGGAGGAAAATCCATGATTCTGTGGGCACCTACTACTGGCATGTGCCGACCGGCACAACACAATGGCAGCATCCAGCTTGCACCGCTGGCCCAGGCAGGAGCCTGGAGTCCGATGGAGAGGAGGTGCTCCAGAAAATGGTAGGGGATATGGGGAGAGGAGAGGGCTGGTGTTGGATCCCCTCACTGGGGATGAGCAGCCCAGCATGACTAGCCCCGGGGTGGCGGGAGCCCACCACAGCATGGCAGGTGAAGGACCACGTATGTTGCTCACCCAGCCTCCTCTTGGAACAGGATTGTCTCTGTCATCCCAAGATCCTGCTCAGCCCATTCCTGGCTGGGGTTAACTCCAGTGAGGGGCTCTATGTTGGCCCCATCCTGGCACTTCTTTAGGTCCCCCGGATTAAGGCTTTGCCCTCCTGGAGGGGAGGCTGCATGCCCAAGGATACGCACTGCTCCGCAGCAAATCCTCTTGCTGCCCTCACTTGTGTCCTTCTCTTTCCTAGGACCACCAGGCCTCCACAGTGAATCAATCCTTGAAGGACAGACCCATTCCCAGTCCTATGGCTTCACTGTCCAGGAGGTAGTGTTATCCATGCATTCTGCCAACATGGGGCCAGTGGGGCACCACGCAGTGGTCACCCTTTTGCCCGCAGCTGCCTTTGGCTCCTTTGCGTCCTCCCCCTGAGCAGCAGGATTTCAGTCAGCCACACTGAGCTGGGCACCCACGCAGGGTGCCCACGGGGTGGGAGGAGTGTTTTGTGCTGCTGAGGCCTCCGGGTGCTTCTCGGGGCGCTGGTGCCTAGGGGCAGTGCTGCTTAGCGAAAGTCTTGCCCACCTCGCTGCCCCATCCTATTGTAGGACCTCACTGCCCTGGCATGGAGATGACTTCCAGCACAGCACTGAGCCCGGCTCCAAGGTAACGCGCCGCGAGGGAGGCGGCGCGGGCACGTCGGCAGGCTAGTGCCTCCGCCTCAGTAGCAGCGCTGGGACACGATGTGGGGGGCTGGAGGGAGCGCCCAGCAGCTGGCAGGCTGGGACAGGGGCGAGGGCAGCGGTGGCCATGCTGGCCTGGGTGCAAACCTTGTGTGTGTGTCCCTGCTCAGTGCTTCGCCGTGCGCTCGCTGGGCTGGGTGGAGATCCCCGAGGAGGACCTGGCACCTGGTAAGAGCAGCATCGCCGTCAACAACTGCATCCAGCAGCTCTCCAACAGCAAGAGCCAGGGCCAAGGCTCTGTGGGCAGTCGGGGTGAGGTGAGGGCCAGGGATGGAGCTGCTGGGGATACTCCCACAGATGTGGCCATGAGCCAGCACTGCTGCAGCTGGCTGTCCCCTCACATGGGGACCGTAGCCCCTGGCAGAGCCAGCTGTCTCCATGCACATGGTCAAAGACAGCGGTGCCCAGGCATGTGGCGGGTTAGGCTGTTGGGGCTTTTCCTGCAAAAGGAGACAGTGCCAGGAGGTGGCTGGGGAAGGGCGGGCTGTCCACCGCACAGGGGTGCCTGTGTGTAGGGCAGGCCTAGTGGACAGGGCTGTCCCCGCACCTGGGGACCGTGCTGGGAGGTGCCAAGCTGGAAGCGGGCTGGGTGGATGGGGCTGTCCCTGCACACAGGACTAGTGCCAGGGTGCCCAGGGTGCCCAGGCGGGTGGCAGAGCCTGGCCTGCCACCAGGCTGAGGGTACCCCCGGCTCCCCACAGGCCCAGAACCTGGTGATGATCCTGAAGAAGGACACCATGAGCCTGGTGGACCCCCTGGACCACAGCCTCATCCACTGCCAGCCCATTCTCAACATCCGCGTCTGGGGTGTTGGCTGCAACAACGGCAGGTGCTGGGCGCAGGGGCCCCTCTGTGGTGGGCAGCGGCACGGCCCGGGCGTTACGGGGTGCTCCTGTGCCACATGGCCTGGCACTCAGGGGCTCTGGCAGCCCTGGCTGCCCGTGGGGAGGGCAGGACACACACACACTAACCTGCCTGCTCTCCTCTCTCCTAACGGCCGTGCTTGGTGCAGGGACAGGTAAGGTGGTGTGGGGCAAGGGGCCCGTGCCAGGGGCTGCCTCCACTAGGCCCTCCCTCACCTGCCCTTGACCTTGCAGGGACTTTGCATTTGTGGCCAGCGACAAGGATACCTGCGTGCTCAAGTGTCACGTCTTTCACTGCAACGTGCCAGCCAAGGGCATTGCCAAGGCACTGCATGAAATGTGCTCCAAGGTGGGGTGCCAGGGGCTGTGGTTGTGGGGGGCAAAGCCCACACACAGCCCGGGCAGCCGAAGTGCTGGCACTCACGGGGATGCATCTGGGCTTGACCCTGTGGTTTTGGGCTGGTGGGTGACAGGGCCCGCGGTCTCTGCCAGCCAGCACCCCTCTCAGTTTCCCCGCTCAGAGTGGAGCCAAGTCCCCACTGACAGGGGGCTGGGGGGTGACCGGGGGCCCCTGCCACCCAGCCAGGGCACCCCTGAAGCGCAGGGCCCCGTGTGATGCTGTCTCTTGCAGATCATGGCCGAGCGAGCAGTGGCAAGCAGCAGGCTCCCACGGGCCATCGCCTTGGAGCCCATGTCCCCCGATGATCTGCCACTGCAAGGTACCATCCCACAGGCACCCCGGGGATCCCCTGTGAGGGCTGTACTGTGCTGGGCACGCCTGGCTGCGTCCTGGGGGGCTTTGGGGACCCCAGGGCTGCATATGAAGGTCCTGCGCACTTCTGCCTTGGCAGTGGACATCCTGGACGCTGTGAGACAGTCCATCCAGAAGTACGAGGCACTGTATATAGGCAGCCTGCCCGTGCCCAGGGCCATGGGTAAGTGCTGCTGCTCCAAGCGGGGCTGGGGGGTGTCCAAGAAATGCCCCCTTGCTGAGGAGACCAAGTAACACCAGCGCCATCTCTTGTCCCCCCAGGGATGGATGTGCTGAACGAGGCCATTGAGAAGCTGACGAGAGGCCCTGGACGGGAGCGCTGGACGCCCTCCCTCATCAGCGTGTCAGACACGGCCATGAGGGTGCACCCAGCACAGGTACAGGCAGGATCGGGGAGCGTCCCAGGAGCCCGCAGGGTGCAGCGGGGACAGGAACGCTGCAGCCCCCAGGCACGGAGGACCTGTTTCCCTGGGCAGGCCCCAGCCTGGGGTGGCCGAGCTGCCTTGGAATGGCTCAGGGACATGGTGCCCAGGGGGCCAAATGTGCCCGGGGTTTGCCACGTGACAGATGGACCTGTCCCTGGCAGGAGGAAGAGGAGGAGGCAGCGCACATCTGGGAATGCCAGGTTCGGTACGTGACCTTCATCGGCGTGGGCAGGGATGCACACACCTTCGCCCTCATCGTGGACACGGGGCAGCGCTTCCAGTGCACGGCGTTCTGGTGCGAGCCTGATGCGGGCACCATCTCGGAGGCGGTGCAGGCGGCCTGCATGGTGAGCGGGGCCCCGGGGGCACCCCACACTCCCTAGGGCCCCACGCAGGGCTCACGGGCCCGGGGGCCCAGCCCGGGCTCTGCGCAGGGGGAGGCTCAGCCCCCTCCGGGGGGTGCGGGCCGGGCCTGGTCCCCCGCCGTGTCCCCCCGCCTCACGCCGTGGCCATTCCCGCA